TTTCAGATATCAGTGGTATTATTTGCACACATAAGTTACTGTTGCGTTCCTGTTATATAAGTTGTTTCATGAATTAGGCTTGCAAATCATCATTGTTCTGATGGTTGTGTCATGATCCCTGGGTCTGGGATACCTTTTTTTAAAATTAAAGTGTTTCTTGGTTTCTTTTTCTTTTATTTCAAAGTTCTGATTTCACATCTAGTTTTTTCATGTTTAGGTTTGGTTAGGGTGTCTGTGTATTCCTGCCTCCCTTAGTTATTTCCTGGTTCATTTTGTTAACCTTTGCCCTACGTGTTTAGTGTTCAGTTTTACTTTCCTGAGTCTAATTTCCCTGATTAGTTCCAGCTGTGTTCCCTGGTGTTTCCCATCTATCTAAGTACCTTGTGTGTATTTATAACTCAAGTCTCCTCTTGCCCTTTGTTGTGTCCTTTCTCAGTGTTATGTGCTCCTCTGCTCCATGCTTTCCGTGGTTCCTGCGGTTCCTGCTTTACTCTCGGTTATGTGCTCCATTGTTCTGAATTTTACCCTAGATTCGTAGGTTTTTGATTCCTGGTTACAGCTCTGCATTGACGACTTCACCATTAGAGCTGTTTTTTGAGTTCATGTTCCATTTCCTGAATCCAGCGTATTGGGTTCATATCCTGCCTCACAGCCATTTATGATAGACCGCTAAATATTTTCATTATATCTTTCTCTACGTTTCAAATCCCTTTACTTACTCATTAATAAGAAAAAAACCTACTTTAATAGATTTTAAAGGAATAAAAATGGTCCCTTAAATTGCTTCAGTTTCCATATTTATGTAAACATTCAGGGCTGATTATGCTACTAAAAATAATAATTATTAATCATTATAAAATGTATTGAATATTGGTTATGCCAGTATGCCAGCTGTGTAGCAAAGCTTTTTTAGTCATGTTACTGTGTCAGTAGAGTTGGTAATGTTATCCCATCTGGTGGTTGCTCCTCTACTGTAGAGCGAACTAAAATATCTCAGCAGCTATTAGATGGATTACCATGAAATTTGGTACAGACATGCAGGGATCCCAGGCACTGTAGCCTATGATGACAAGTTTGACATAAGATGAACATATTGAATGGTTGCTTCTGAATTTTGCAAAGACAGCTCCAGCTCCTTTCGTCTAGCACCACCAATATTTCACTTCTTTTTAACTATTGTCATTTTGGCTTTATAACAAAATGACTGTCAAATTAATTTCATCACATGGTAAATGTTGTACTTGGGAAATATTAGCATCTGTGGAGTGTACACGGTACAAACTCACACTGCTAACATAGCTGTAATGGAACTTAAACTCTGTAACTAATATGGTGTTATCTTTATTAGACTGGAACTGTCGACTCTACTGAAGCATACCAGCCAGCTCCTGGGAATACTGTTGTGTCACATGAAATGCCCTCAGGTAACTTTTTGCATTGTGTAGCTTTTTTCACACTGTAGAGCAGAATTATACCTTAATAAAATGCTTTTTTTCCCTATGCAGAATCAGATTTAGATGATTTGAGCCACAGCATTCAGAGTCCTGAGCCTGAACTCCTTTATTATAGAGGACATGAGGACCAAGAAAGCATATTGCATGAAGATGGAGGAGACACTGAGGAAATGGCAGTGAGGTCATGGGGCATGGGAGCAGCTCAGGACTGGTGTGCCTCATTTACTTTTTCTTTCCCACAGACAACACTCTTACTTGATATGTGTAACTGAGTCCTGACAGAGTCTATTATGTCACTGATCTCTCTCTGCCTCTTTGTCTAGGCCACAGGCCCACTGCCCGGCTACACCAGTAACAGTGGCCTATACTCCCTCAGTGCCCACAGTGGCTCCAAGCCAGAACTTCAGTTATCATAACACAGATAGTGGTGAAGTCAAAAGTGCCTCACAACATTGTCCTCCAAATAATCTGCCAGCAATAGCAGAGGGTGAGACTCTAATGTTAGACAGCAATCATTCCCTTCTCTGTTCGGGTATTTACTATGGCCCGCGGTGAGTCAGTGTGACATTTTCTTTTTATTGCTTTTACAGGGGCCGGAGCATCCTCTGGAGCAGGGATGGTGAGAAATGCATTTTAATATTCCACTGGCAACTTTTCGCTTTGATTTATTTATCGCATAAGCATGATTTTAAAGATTACATTCAAATGTATTGTGCTGTGCATTGATTAGTGCTGCTTATAAGTTAAAATGTTTGCCTTTATTTGCCTTTGAAGATGCACGGTCAGATGATTGAGACGAACTTCGGTCAGCCGGGACAAGTCGAGCAGATTGTCCCTCAAGGATTGAAAGCTTCTGAGGACACCACTGAGCCTCCTAAACAGGTGGGTGGGCTGCCTATCATATGTCACACAGCTTTCAGTGACATTAGAATTAGTTTACATGCATCACACTTTGTTCTGTGTTAAAAGCAGAACACAAAGAAAGGATGGTTCAGTGGCTGGTTCAAGTCAAAACCTAAGGTGGTCCAAAAAGAGGCTTCAGAGCAGGGAGGCCCAGCTCACACAGTAAGTATCAAGCATACGAGCTCAGATGTGATCTCAGTTTTCATTTAATGATACTAATCGCTGTGTATGTTACAGGACTTTTCGCCATCTGCTGACGTCTGTCCTCCTCCACCGCCTGCCAGTGTCCCTCCTGGCACGTTTCCACCACAGTCTTCCACTGCTGGGATTAATCCATTCTCACGGAAAGCAGGTGGGTCACATGATCAGTTACATAATATTCTGGCTCTGTGTCAGTGTTAGTCACTTATCACTATTTTAATAATAGATTTCAACATAAACATGTTGTCAGCTTCCACATTCTTATGGTATGTTCTGAGGTCAATGAGTGTCTTAGCTAGCGTGTCCAGTTTCATATATTACAGTCATGATGGACACCGCTTGGATTTTTTTTTAGTGCAGAAACTTAAAACATTGCAAGTGTTTTGGCTGTTACTAAGGACATTTTACCTCCATTTAACTCTACAAATGTGAGCATTTTCTTTAAATACCCATGTCTTCACTATAGGCCAGCAGCTGGGTTAGAAACCGTGAGACTCACCTCTGTCACAGGTAAATGAAGTTACTTAACCTCCTAGGACCTGCCGTCCACATATGTGGGCATCACATTTTGGGTTATTTAGACTAAAATATTCAATTTTGCTCTACATGGGCCTGATATCCACTTACGAGGGCATTATACTGCTACTGTTCTATCGAAATTTTAAACGAATATCCTCATATGTGGCTCTTATTTTTCTTAAAAACAAAAATAAGGTTAAAAAAAATCAGGTAATTCTTTGTTTTTACATTCATCGGGCCCCAATATGCCCAAATATCAAAGAGAAATAAAAAATGCATGTCGTGGAAGAGTTCGGGTCTTAGGAGGTTAAAGATAAGCATATTGATTCTTTATAATTCTTTACGGATTCACATTAACTAAACATGTTCTGTTTGCAGGATCATGCGTCTTGCACCAAAAGTGAGGATATCACAATGTCACACCACATGTCGTGTACTGTAAGATGCATACCGCTCACTAGTTCTTTTTTAGTAATGCCCTTTAAAATCCTAGAGCTTGCAAACCATGATGTTCCTTGTTAGTTACAGGAATACTCTGCATCGACTTGGATATCAACTCATATTGCAGTGACAAAAACAGCTGAGGTGTGTTCTAAAAGCTGACTTAGGGGAAATTACCAGCAGACGCAGTACATATCTTGGGAAAGGGATAGCTTAACTCAGAGCAATCACGCCAGCAACACTGGGGCTGAAGTTCTACAGTGGCAAAAAATGTTGGTGTAACTGTGATCACTATGCCACGATCATCTGTGCTATATGCTGCAATTAAATATCCAGCTAAATATAAGCGTGGAAAATATTTAAAGATATACACACATATACCACTGCAGTTATATTATCTATGCTCCAAGCACTGTTTTAAAACAGAAATAAGACGCACACTAATAAATGCTGTGGTCTCAGAAGCTTTTTAAGCATAATTTGTAGCCCAGCTTTGCAGAGCTGTACCACATCATGGGCAGTACTTGATTATTTTCTGTCATCTGAAAAGTGCAACAGTTGTATTTTAAATTGCACACGGGACAGAAAATAAATGCTGAAAATAAAATTGGAATAGTGTCTTCTCATGTTGTCATACTGCCAAGATTGATGATACCACATGGCGAGAGAGGGGAGGATAGCTCAGGGAAGACCTCTACCAGCCAAATACCCAGTACCCTCTTACAGCCTCTACACCCACCAGAGAGCAGACGCTTCCAGGACCAAACTGTTTATGTGCTGATGACTTATTTGTAATGAAATGGAGCTCAGCATATAAAAGCTTGATTTTACACACCGCTCTTTAAATTGTATATAAAAACAGTAATATATACTCTTGTAATTGATTTTAGATTGACCTTTTTTATTTCTGTGTCACCGTGTAAACATGTTTGGATGTAACTGGATGTTGTTAAGTCATTTGACTTTAAGTTTCAATGTATTGTGTTTTTGTACCTCTATACGACCACATGAAATGTGTTTATTCTCTAGCTTTTCAGCAGATTCTCGCAGCAGAGGAAAGTATTATTAAAAGCTGTATCTGCAGTCATGTTAATAGTCACATATTGAATAATTACATCTTGCCAAGAAATAGCTGCAATTCCCGACAGAGCCTCTCAATTAATGTACAGCAAGTGACAACACGGCAGGTGCCGTCTCCTTTTACGATTAGTCTGCAGTAGCCAAGAATGAGTGGCACACGCTGGCCTTGAATTCAACACACGCACAAACAAACACACACATGCAGATGAGCAGCATGTGAACTACGGCATACGTCCTGCCAATAAAGTGTCACTATACAAATTATCAGAGTGGATTTATGAAAGACTGCTTAAAATGGCATCCAGATGAGACTATACTAGAACCTAATATATTTCGAACAAAGTTACATATTTTGATAATTGGAAAATAAACAAATAAAAAAAACTCCTCAACAGGCAGACATCTTATACAAAATCTTTATTGAGATTCGGATTCACAGTAAAATGCTAGTTCACTTTTACTCACTGATAAACTCCAAACATGCTACGCTTCTTGTACATGTAGCAATATGATTACAAAGAACCAAAACTCAGAAGATGGCAGCATGCATGATTAAAATACATTTAAACCTAACGTATAGGAATCTGACATCTAGTACAATATCATAAATGCTATTACTGTGTTTAGAAAATATCACACTCTGTATCCGGGCAAACTCAATTTTTCTCACTATGTGTATTTCTGTTGGTAAAATAGAAATTAAACTACAAAAGTAAGCATGACAAATGCTGTAGTTGAATAAATAAAGCGCACTATGAATACAAAGTACTAGTACGTGAAATTCACATCCAAAAAGTCCAAATCAGCAAAAAGAGCAAGCAGTAACTGACTGGCAATCCAGCTTCCCTGAATGATTACAAATGCACTGGTCTATTAATGTTGTCACAGTCATGTTTTTAGTATCAGTGATGCAAAATCTTATCTACTCAAGAGCAGTACTTAAATATTGTAATTGTATTTGTATTATTCTTTGCAAGGGTTAAGAACAATAAGCTGCCTATCATTTGAAGCTGGTATGTCTAGTGTGCCACTGTTGCTACAGAGTGGTGGTGCATTTATGTATTTCCACACTTCCTTTGGGAAATGTGTTGTAGAGTTCATGGCTGTAGTGCATGATTGAAGAAGTCGTATGATAAAATGCCTAAATGCAAAACTGCTATATTGTGGGTAACATTAATTACATTTACAGTGCATTCACAGTTTTAAAAAAAGGGTTCAGTGCTCTTTTAATGAGTTTCACATCACACCATTAAACTGTCAGCTCCAGTGTCAGTGCTGTGCTGGCGGTAATTTTTATCCCAAGACATTCTCGTGGGAACCCAGCACCCTGGGGAAACAGAGTGAAGATTTTACAGCTCATGGCACTCTAAATAAATATTGCTCATTAGCATATGTAAAGTGGTGCCCTATAACCTTTTGTCCAATGTTTCTTGACCTTAATAACTGAAATGAAACAGCTGTAGCACAGTAATGGATATGTACAGTTCTTGTCTTTAACAGGCTGCGACACTTTTGTCCCCATGTTTCTGCACATGCTGTGCAAGTTTTGTGGAACACTGGAAAGATCTGTCACATTCTGTGCAAACAAAAATCCTCCCTGCACAGTTTTGCTCCTGATGAAGCTTCAGTTTTGCTGGGTGGCTAAAATTCTTGCTGCAGCCCACGCAGTTGTGGGGTTTCTCTTTACTATGTATGAACTGGTGACGAACAAGACGGGAAGCCATGGCAAATGCCACGCCACATTCTGTGCACTTATGGGGCCGCACTCCGCTGTGAATGGCTTCATGCTCGGTCAGGTTGGAGGACTTTGTGAAACACTTGGAGCACACAGAGCAGACAAAAGGACGCACTCCTCTGTGGATTTTCTGGTGCTCTGCCATGCGGCTAGCCAGGGCAAACCTCTTCCCACAGTCGGGGCAGGAGAAGGGTCTTTCTCCCAGGTGCTTACGCTCGTGGCGCTTCAGAGCTAGGGGTTTATTGAAGGTCTTGCCGCAGTGCGTGCATGGGAAGGGCTTGTCATTGGTGTGCATGTTCCGCTCATGCTTCCGCAGGTCTGAAGAGCGGATGAAATCCTTGCCGCAGGTGTCACAGATGTATGGCTTTTCACCAGTGTGTGTACGGATATGCTTACGGTAATCTGAGGACCAGATATAGGTTTTGACACAGAAGGGGCAGTGATACGGTCTTTCACCCGTGTGCAGACGCTTGTGTTGCTGCAGCGTGCCTTGATGAGAGTAAGCCTTGCCACATATATCACATACATGCGGCTTGAGGCCTGTGTGTGTTTGTAAGTGACTCTGCAGGTTGCACAGCTTCTTGAAAGCCCATTGGCAGTGCGTGCATTTGAATGGACGTTCCTCTGTGTCAGTGTCAACTCCATTGCGTTTTTTCATTGCTACCAAAAGTCGAGGGATTTTGTCGTCTTTACACTTTTTAAGCAATTTCATAAGTGAAGGACTATTTACATTCAGATGTTTGGTCTTATTCTCACCTTCGCTTGGAGAAGATTCCTCACTACTTAACTCTAGCTTAGATGTCCTCTGTTGGTCTGAGACATCACTTTGGCTCTTGGATTGTTTCAAGAACATGCTTTCATTCTGTGTCACAGCATCCTGGAGCACGTCATTTGGTTTACATATTTCATTGGTCTTAGTGTATGTAATGCATCGTAGCGATGCCCCTTTGTGTTCTTGCTCATCCTGGATTGGTGTTTCTTCTCCTGGTGAAAGCCCTGCAAACCTCTCCACAAGAGAGAAGTTTGGTGTTTGAGGATTCAGATAAAGGATTCCAGTCTCATTACTCTCTGGGAATGGCTCCATTCTTACACCATTACTGCCAAATGAAGACTCTATATTCACACTGTGAGTGTTACTCAAGATGTATCCATCCAGGGGAAAATGAGTGACACTTCCCTTCCTTTTCCTTTTCCTTTTTTTGTCAACATCTGTCCCAGTAGACATCTGCAGAATGACACTGATTTTGTCAGAAATGTGTTTTGAATTATTTATTTATTTATTTTTTACTCATAACTGATGCCACACAGACTTTCTGCAGCAAGTCTGCTGTTGCTGCATGCACCAGTATCATGTAAATATCCCACACATGCTCTGACACCATGCTCGTCATATGACACCAGAACTTTACTATGTGTTCCCGCAGCGTTATATTACTATAAAAATAAAAACAACTCATTATTTTGTAATTTCACACATTAAATCATTTTATAGAGCAGCTTACCCTGGAGTCTCCACGCGAGCAGGTCAGATCCCGGAGATGCCTGGGAGATATACTAGCCCGGGTACTAGTATAACTCTATGAGAGATGTCCGGTTGCGTTAACGGGCGGAGTTTGGCAGCAAGCCTCTGTAGGTCAGCATCTATCCTGCAAGTCAGCAGCAGCAATTATATCTTCACAGCCGGGCTCAATTTACCCTCCACTCACTGAACTTGCCACCCGTTTTACATACGACTTGTTGAGTAATTGCATCAGACGGAGACTTTCAGATTGCGTTGGACGGTAGAAAGTCGGAAACTTTAACAGTTTACTCGCTTAAGTTGGATCCTTGAACTGGAAAGACTAACTTTTAATTAACTTTTAGTTTACCAACACTCTTTTTGACTCTTTTTCTTTTCTTTTTATTAATTTGTTTTAACAGCTTTAAAAAAATAGAAATAAAAACAACAACAACAACAAAAAAAGAAGAAAATAAAATGTTTTTGATAGTGTGTGAGTTAGTGCCGCCGTCCGCGCATTGATATTTAGGTTACGCTCTCAGGAGGGCGTTAATGAAACGTTCAAATTACCTTTAAGCCAAGGAAGAAACAAAATGCAACACTCTACTTAAATTACATATCACAAACCTGGAAACATTTTTGCTCAGTTTAAGTTTACTCGCCCTTGCTATTAGTGAGTGACATATTTTGTTTTTGAACGGGTATAAAATAATGGTCGTATTTGTAAGTATGCGACTAGTGCATTGATATTTTAATTAAATGCATTATGAGGTCAGGTGGAGACGGACAGAAATTTAAACCATTTGCTTGTTAAATAATTACACTGAGCTGAAAACATTTGACCAACACTAACCGTTTCAGCACAGCTAATATTCAAGTATATTTTCATTCACCGTTAAACTCTAACCGTTAGTAATAATCTAAGAGTGAGCACCGTACTGTCCAAAAGTCTATAAAGTATCACATTGATGACGGTGTTTCAGATCACAGCAAAGTTATTTTCACCTCTATTTTAAGTCCATGAGCATTTTGGGGTAACGACCACAAGATGTCACTGTTCACCTGATATTTTGCCAAGTCAGAAGCAAAAACTGTGGAAAATCACCAGCTCTACGAAAAAGAGAAAAAAGGGTGAATTTTAGAATGCGTCTTATTGTAGACATCTGTGTTGCTTTAGAAAAAAAACACGATGTTTTCAGCTCAGTCTCTGAATGAAAAAAAAAAATCTATGGATATATCAACAGATGAATCTTGTTGGTTTCGAAACAACAGAAGTTCTGAAGAATACTTATATGTGCCCGACGTATGCTTAACAAAATCAACATGGGAGAATGGCTTCAACTTAGTGCCCCCCCATGTTTAGAGAACACTGTGTACAGCTTTTGTGATAAATAAGTTGCAGTCCAGATTTTTGCCAGTAGATGGCCTCGAAATATCCATTCAGTAAACAGAGTCATCATGGAAAAGGAAAAAAGGGAATCCACTTGTCCTGTAATCAAAATATAATAATATTTCTTTCATACTCAATAGTAGGACATGTCTTTATTAATTTTGAGAACTCGTGTTTTTCCCCTCCCTGATAAAATCCTCCAGAGCTTTCCTATTTTTCCCTGTCAGAATAATGGTGTTTTTTTTGTTTGTTTTTGTTTTTTACACTATAGGGACTGACAGGATTTAAACCTGCATGTGTTAAGTAACTTAAATCTTAATTAAATTGACAGTTGTAGTCTGCACTCAGAGCACTTTCCCAGGAGAACAGATTGAAATCAGATCCTTAACAAATCACCTTTACAAGGCTGCATTTTCCATTCGTTTGTACCTCAACACAAAGTTTTGGCTTCAGTTTCCCACACATATCCACCACAAGAATACCTGTACATGTCTTCTCACGTAAGCTTTCAGGGATATTGCCCCCTTTGTTGAACAGTAGGTACAAATGGATGATTTGATACACCAATTTAGGACAATTTCATAGATATCACAATTAAAACAAAAAACAAAAAGAACAATGAAAATAATCTCTGGAGTTGTGCATATTTATGTGTTGTCCAACATTTAGTTTTGTGAAAACCATCATTTTTAGTTTATTTCAAGTTTATTCATCAAGTTCCAAGTTTGAAAAAGTAACTCTAGCTCTACATAATGTTAAAATCAGATCAGGAGTTAAACTGGTAATTACTCTTTTTCTTTGTATATGTATCAACTTGAAGCTGTCATAACAAAGCTTTGGTGGATGTTGCATAAGTGGGTTGCAGTGACATGAACCCGGATGCCGAAGCTGTACTAACAATCAGCATGAAGAGCATCACCCAGGAAGTCTCTGTTGGGAGTAAAAAGATTGTGGTTTGTTAGTTTACTTGGTGTTTGTGTTTTTTCCAGACCCCAAGTAAAGAAAGTGTTATAATCCCCTTGTGATTCTTTCAAAGCAAGTAATGGAAAGAGAGCGACTCTTCCTCCAAATGCAAATTTTAGTTCTACTCGCTCTGACTGACCTGCTTTTCCTTGGAAGTTACACTTGAATAAACATTTTATTGATTTCCATGCAACTCATTCAAGTGCACTGAAAAAGTGCAGAGTCATCCTGGAGGTGGTTCTTCAATTTCATGCTGGAGAGTAAACTGCCTTAATTGAGAACATACCCAAATGGGGAATTTTCCACAGACCTTCACTCTGTGGCTGTGGAAATTGTTGGTTTTTTTCACTATTCATCCACTTACATAAGTTCTACCTTAAAGGACATATTGTACCACTCAATATAAATTTGGTGTGGTTTCACTTTTCAGTAAAGTTTTTCCATGTAGATTTTCTTTTTGTGCCAAATTGGTTCGTGCATGGGGTGATGAGGTACAGGGGGAGAACAAAATGAAAACAGCTTACAATAGAGTGCATGCAAAGCACAACAGTAACCCGACAGAGCTGAATTAAGATTCTTTATGATGCTGAACACTGTAAATGATAACAAACTGTAATGTATTTAATTCAAACCTGATTTGATCACTGGTTATTTGAATGTAGTCACATAAGCTGCAGGCTTACTTCTCATGTGCACAATTAGTGGTTCAGTATGTTTGCATCTTGGACGGCGCTGACAAGCTTGGCACCATCGTTGGCATGCAGGATTCATAACTTCAGTGTGCTTCTAAATATAGTAAGGAACAGTTGTACCAATGCACTGTCGAAAAACATCCTGTTAGAATGACTTTAGTGTTGAAAGGGGTACTAGCTTATTATGAAAGTGTTTACTAACCTGTTGCTGGTAAGTATCCTTCCTAATCTTATTTACTATCTGTGGACATAAGGTCACAGAAAGATGGGACCCTAAACTTATACCATTCATTAGGGTGAATATTACAGTATTGGGAGACTAAAAGCTGCCCTCTTTGTCCTTAGTAGTTTTTTTTTAAGTGAGTTTGGTTGTTCTTCAAGCTCACACCTGCAGTTTCTCAGTTTACAAGGATTTTCATTCTATTATTTCTCTGCAATTGAGAAAATTTAAATTAGAGTCTATTAAGAAGTGGACTTGTATGAGTCCAATTTACCTTAGTATGTGATTATAGTTTGCCATCAGCAATTGCATTTGACAGGTACTGTTGAATAAGTATAATTAAAGGCTTAAAGCGCATACAAAGCCCATACAACTAATCCACTTAAAGCAAGTTCCAGCTCATGGTATATTTTGGTATATTTTTATTTTTGTTGTTTGTTAGGCTGCCCATACTAAAACTTAGATTATGCTTTTATGTAGTGTTAGTGAATTATTATTTTTTTTGTTTTGTTTTGTGACATGGATTATTTTGTAAACATCTCCTTTGTGTACAAAGTTATCAACAGTACTCCTAATTCCACTCTGTCTTGACTGTTTTTAAAGTACACACGCTTACAACATTTGAGTCTGGGGAAATTTTTATTTCTGGAAGTGGCTAAAATTTGGGGCTCCAACTTTACAGCAACAATTTGGGAACCTTTATTTATTTGCATGCAAGAGTGAGATAAGAACAGATGAGCTGGAGGTGCTGGAAGATGGACTTTGTTAGTTGTTATTTTGAAGGAGCCATTTCTGTTGATTCACCATACTGCTAATCTGTTTTCCCACAAGCACCCCAGATGTAACAGATGTGCATGGGAGAACACAATTGTCTGAGGCACTTTGATTTTGGCATTCACTTCTTCAGCCAGTTTCCAAAAAACAAGTTAGTCACATGTGAGAACAGTCCAATGAATTTCCAACAAGCGAGCGGGTTTAATGTATCTAGTCCCCTGCACTGTCTGCATCTCGGTGCTCTCACCTAACTTAAACTGTGTATTTCCAAAAGTGAAAACAATCTGATTGTCACGATCTGAGGAGGCAGACCGTGCGGTGGTGTGTGTGGTGGACCCAGGTGCGAACACACGAGAGTAGACTGGAGTAA